ATATATATATATATATGTTTACAATAAAATAAATTAACAAATATTGTTCAATCTTACACTTGAAAATTGTTTCCAGGTGGCAGTACCGGAGTCCCACTAATGGTCGCGACCTCAATGGCGATGGGCTGAGTGCAGACCTGTAGTGGGTATTGTATCAGGGTCAACGACAGCGTCTCATTGTCTCCTAGTCCATTGGGGTCATCTCGGTCAAACCAGGGTGTCCTACATTCTAATAGAGGAAAATCATCTCAGTAAAATTCATCTCATTTAAGGTCAATATTTGAGATCACAATTTCTATAGTAGAAATCAATCCAGCTAAACCTTGATTTTAACCTGATGTCAAGGTTGAGAAAGTTTTAAAATGATCTCACATGCACTCACTTGAACACCAATCCTCTTGGCAGGTGAAGCGCACCTTATAATCAGCACAAAGCACTCCTCCTTGGTTTACACAGGAAAACCCAGACGTCGGATTATAACTTCAGAAAACACAAAAAAACACCTTTACAACACATTAAAAAACAAGTTTCAGTTAAGATCGTTTGAAAGATCCTTTGATAGACTCACACTTGAAAGATGTTTCCAGTTTGATACGCTGGCTGGCCAGAGATGGTCTGAGCCTCAATTCCAAGTGGATTCGGACAGATGTACCCATGGTACACACTGAGAAGAACAGTCAAGAGTTCAGAATCGCCTCCATTTGTATTAGGGTTGTCAGAATCAAACCACCTGGTTACACACGCTGATGAATGTGGTACAGAGGAAAGAAACAATTAAAACAAACAAACAAAATGACCCAACATCTTTACAATATGAACAAAACAACTTTAAGAAATCAGAATTATAAAAACATACTTGTTTTGCAGAAACTCAATGGACATGTGAAGCGGACCCTGTAGTCTTGACAGGCCCCATTCACACACACAAAGCCCTGTAACGGGTCATATCTGCATAAAGATAACACATATATTAACCAAATTCTCTAAATGACATTCATAACAAGCATTTTTATGCATAAGATTTTGCAAAGGTGTTCTTGAATATCCAACAAGCAATGATTATGCTCCTTGTGTCTATCTGACATCGCATTAAGAAATAACAGCATGGTTTATTTTAATTGGAGACATTTATATGGATAATACATACACTTGAAAATTGTTTCCAGGTGGCAGTACAGGAGTCCCACTAATGGTTGCGACCTCAATGGCGATGGGCTGAGCGCAGACCCGTAGTGGGTATTTTATCAGGGTCAACGACAGCGTCTCATAGTCTCCCAGTCCACTGGGATTATCTCGGTCAAACCAGGGTGTCCTACATTCTAATAGAAGACAACCAGCTAAGTAAATATAATAAACTCATACAAGACCAACAATAGTATCTATTGTAGAAAAGAACACTTAAAAGTATTTACAAGTGAATTTTGTGCTTTGATATATTTTGTAACTTTGTATACATTTTGTGTACAACTTTATATAATTGAAGGTGAACAAGAACTTTAGACAACTTGATACTGATCTCTGTAGTAACTCAAGTGAAAGTCTGATTTTCATAATCAGCTGCAGTTTTTGTGTGTAAATGTAAATGTCACTCACTTGAACACCAATCTTCTGGGCAGGTGAAGCGCACCTTATAATCAGCACAAAGCACTCCTGCTTGGTTTGCGTTTACACAAGCAAACCCACTTGTCGGATTATATCTTCAGAAAACACACAAAATCAACATAACAGATACTGTAAAACTTCAGGATTCCTTGATCTCGGCTCAAAATATTACCAGAAGCACATGTCCTGAAAAAACTTACACTTGAAAGATTTGAGATGCTGGTTGACCGGAGATGGTCTGAGCCTCTATTGCGATTGGACTCGGACATATTTCTCCAGGGTTTGTACTGAGAAGGTCAGCCAACAGCTCGTAGTCTCCATTTCCATTTGGGTCATCACGGTCAAACCACTTGGTTATACAACCTGATAAATATAAACAGAAACAGAAGGAGGAGTAAAATTAAGGGAGACGATGAGAGTCTCTCAGAATATGTTGACAAGACATGCAAGATTTAAAGGCTTATTTTTAAGATACACTATGTACCTTTTTTTTTTGCTCAAAATTAAATGTTAGTGAGTATCTCATGAAACCATCTTCCAAAACCGTTTTTGCCTTACCCCAAAACAGACAGAATTGTGAGATAAAAGTCGCAATTTCCTTATTTTATTTCTATATTACCTTTTCTATTTTATTTTTTTTTTTAACCAGCGGTGCACCTCTTGCCAACAGACTCATAACAGCTAATCTGAAGCCCATCTCATGTATTTACCGAAACAATGTTCCTCCACAAGTAACCTGTATTTTATTCTTCAACATCAAGAGCACCAAAAAAGCAACTCAGTGTAGGTTTAAAGTAGAAAAATACACCTACTCTGAGTGGAGAGTGAGATGAATGTACCTGTAAATATTGACAGACAGAGACAGGAGTTTTTGAATTTTTTCCCCTTAAACAAATATCTATTCTAATTGCTTTTACCAACATCATCTTTCATAATCAAACTTACTTGTAGCAAGAACCACCCAGGTTGCAAATACCTTAAAAATGAATAATATAATATAATATAATATAATATAATATAATATAATATAATATAATATAATATAATATAATATAATATATGATATTAATATAATATAGGTGCAAAAGAGATGGCATACCTTGCTGCTCATTCTTCTGTTTTTTTTTTTAATAGGAAGTCTAATAGGAGAAATTACAAAAATATAGAAAGAGAAATCATCATAGTGTCTGTAAATGTAAAAACCAGAATTATTTGGCATTGCTAAAAGAAGAAAAAAAACCTTCAATGAATACCACAGCAAAACACATTTAAGTAATGAATTGTAGAAAAATATATATACATATAAATATATAAACTCACCCACTTGATGATTGTGCTAGTGAGAATATCTATAGCACAATATTTCACTAAATTCAGCAGGACAGTTTACACAACATCATCTGTGCTCTCCTTTTTCTGCTGAAATTCTTTGTCTTTTTAAGCAGGTGGCCTCCTCCTGGACCGTCTTGCAGCAGCATCTGTTATCATCTGATCTCCCTTCATTCACCTCTAGTACTCCACCCATCTCTGTCCTGAATAGAGATTATTTGTTGTCTTGCCTAAGACTTTATCTTTTGTTCCTCACTTTAAGTATTTCCTGATAAAGAAGCAGGGAAGGTGAGATTGTCAGATGAGATATTTGATCATATGTTCCATAAATTAGAAAGAGAAAATACAGCAATTGTAATCCTACAATACACTTTATACAATACACAAGGTCACAGAAGAAAAGGCTTCAAGCTTTTCATTTACCCCTTTGCAGACAGTGGTCGTAAAGGAAAGTAGATATGGGTCGTTTTTAATCAATACTCTGAATGTTTTTTTCTTTCAAATTTAAACAACATAATTACATTTTTCAACAACTGCTAGGACTCATTACATTTCTCACAGCAGTAAATTTCACATTCAAAATGCAATAAAACTAACAAAACACTCCATATTTGTCTCAAATCACATTCTTCCATAACACTAGCAAAGCTTGTCAACCAACAAGCACACTTTCCCACACATAAAACAATGACCTACAAAAAACCCCTCACTAACATCAGGTAGAATTACATGTTTTCTTTTCTTTCTTTCCAAAACAACAATGACAGCTCTCTACTGTTTAGAATTCACTGCAGTATATGTTACATTCTCCATGTTTACCTTACAGTACAAAATTATTCCGAAGTTGTCCTGTTTTGTGTAGATGATAATACCTAGTATTACCTTCAAATTACACGTATGGGTAATCATTTGTTTGAATTCTTTATTCAATATTTTGCATATTTTAAAATTTTCAAATCTACTCTAGGATCTCAAAAATGAAAAATAGTGCAGTTGATATGTCTTACCTACTAAGCACTCAGGATGTATCTGTAATATGATAGTAAAATAATGACAAATGTATTTGGGGGGAAAAAAAGCGTTGAATTGCACTAATTGAAAAAAATAAAATGGCATTTTAATGTATTATATTTTCAGGACCAAAGGGCTGAAATGCAACATGGTTGAATGTTGCTATTTAATCAGTGAATATTTCAATTAAAAATATTTCACACACATTTTTATAATCAAAAATTCAATAATCCATATTCACCTTCCAGAGTCCACTTCCGAAATATTCAGTCTGCTTAAAAAGTATGATCTATAATATTCGACAGGCAATTTTCTATCCATTTTATTACACTTTACAAATTAGCTTCCACAAATTCAGTGGTTCAAATTTGGCAGAATATTTAACATTACACATCCGGGAACTGCAGGAATAGCAGTAGAGTGCCGATGCATGATCTCCATCTGCTGTTAGTGGCTCACCAGCAGGTGGTGCAAGCGGCTGTTGACAAAGACCATAGCAACAGGTGCAGAAAATCATTCATTCACAAAACTGATCTGCAGGAATGAAGCAATCGATAAGTATATGCTATGATTATCAGGGCCAGTATGTAAATGTTATTAATTTTGGACCCTGAGTGTATGTGCCCTGAGATCCAGGGTTCATGTTAAAAAATAAAATAGAAATAAATAAATACAAATGAATAAATAGCTAAATAAACCTGAGAGCATTCATTTAAAAAGATACTCAAAAGCTAAATGAACACTGAACAATGAGTTCTTAATATAGTTTCACATATGAAGGGCCCTTACCTTCATGGGAACATGAGCTTTGGAAGGGCCAGATACCCATTATCATGGAAATATGTAAAATATTCAATAGGACAGTCTGCAAAACAGAAACAAAATGAATCTCAAGCTGCCCACCAGGTGCCAGCTCTCTGGGTGATACTATCACCCTGTGGAGATTAACCAAACAACAATGAATTAAGTTCAAGTGTGTATATGAAGGACTTGCAGTGGTTAGTAACTAAAAACATGTGTTTGTTCACAGTGTGAGGACATTTTGCTTACATGCTGCTGGTGAAAGTGTCAGTGCAAACAAAGAGAAAGATGTATTGAGAAAGAGATGACAAATTGAAACTGCAGCGAGAAGTTGAGTAACTGACCAGCCTTAATTCTGTCCGGCAGAAAGTAAAATGTTTTATTCTATTAGCCTACTGGAAACAAGGATTGGACATAAAAGTAAATAATAACATGTCCAACCCGTCTTTTAATGAGATCCCTATGTGTGTGTTTGTGTCACAAACCTAAAAAAAATAATTGTGAAAAAAGATCAAATAAAGCTTACAAGTAGGAATGCAAGTTATATTAGTTCACATGAAAAGAATGAGATAGAAAAAAATGTGCAGCATACATAACTTACAAGGTCTTCGGGATTACTAGTGTGTTGGAACAGGTTGGAACTAAACTGCAGGACTGGTCACCCCTAAAAAGCTGGGACTGCAGACAGATGTGTAGGTCAGTCAATACTATGGAAAATGTAATGTGCAAAAACTTTTTTTTTCCCAATTAGTCAAATAAAACCACTAAATCAGCCACAACGCAGAACAGAAAGACACAGAAAATTAAATGGCAACATTCTAACACATCCACAATGTAGAACACTTGTGCTCTCTCTCTCTCTCTCTCTCTCTCTCTCTCTCTCACTCTCTCTCACACACACGCGCACGTTGGCACACCTATCATTAAGAGGACATTCCATAGGTGTCCTCATAGAAATGAGAGACAATAAAAAATTGCTGTCTGTTGCATAATTTGTCAAACAACATATTTAGACACAATGCAGAACACACACAGAAATGAAGGGATGACACCATAGCACATCCATGATGAAAAACAAATGCAAAAACACATACACAGAATCAGATATAACACACGTTCAGGTTTGACTGTGATAAAGTGGCATGTTTGAAAAACAAAATGCACAAAAAAAATGCTAAAAATGGAATAAGACTATTGTTTATTGATAAAATAATAATTTTATACTGTATAAACATAAATGTGAATGAAAACTGCACCTTTGCCTATATGTGGAAATGGCAAATGAGCCACTGAGTGATCCTCTGCATCCATCTAATGGCTGTAGTTTTCATGTTATTTTAATTTTGGAAGTGTTTTTCTTCAGTAGATGGCAGCAATCTTCCACTAAACCACTGATTCCCAATCCTAGTCCTGAAGAATCGCCAACACTGCACATTTTAGATCTCTCCCTAATCAAACACATCTGATTCAACTCATCAGCTCATTAGTAAAGACTCAAGACACGTGTCAAACTCTGGTCCTCGAGGGCCACTGTCCTGCAGAGTGTAGCTCCAACCAGCTCCAAAACACCTGCCTGAAAGTTTCTAGTGATCCTGAAGATCTTTATTAGCTGGTTCAGGTGTGTTCCATTAGAGTTGGCGCAGCGAAGCCTTTACAACACACTGCGTTGGTGCTTCAAAGCTTTTGACACTGTGCTCTACTTCGTCATCTGGTGGTCAATAAAAATGCTTACACCAACTGTGTCATTCTGATGTTTTGTTCATTGGGATGTCATTGTAAGGTTTATTTGTACATTTAATAAGCATATATCTCATTAGCAAGATGGCGGCGAATGTGTGTGCAGCAATAGAGTTTACAAATGTTATTGTATTTTACACTACAATGACAAAGATTTTCTGTTCTTCATTTTTGCTCACATCAAACTTAAGTCTTTTCACCTTCTAAATTGAATGTTTAATACGCCAGTAAATTAGGCCTGTGATTTTTCATTGCACCATTTTTTGTGTGTTCCTTACAAAACAACACAAACATGCACAGCTAAAAAACACAAATGCACAAATACAAATGCAATTACATATTTTTATTCAAGAATATTATTTGTTCCACTGTGCTGAAGCTTAAGCGGCTCCTTTTTGTTTTACTAATCACATCCCCAGCTTTAGGATGGAACAGATGTGGCTGTAATGGCTAGATATTTTCTGGCCAAAGCATGTAGATGGGGGTACACTTTATGGGCCTGCCAGTATTTGAGAGGGTCCTCATTTCGAGGGAGGTATGCATCATTGATCTGTGTGTGATGTGACGTGTAGCCAAGTATGGTGTCCCATGCTTGGAATTTGTACTCTGCATTTAACCCATCCAAGTGCACACACACAGCAATGAATAGTGAACAAACACACACACACCGTGAACACACACCCGGAGCAGTGGGCAGCCATTTTTGCTGCGACGCCCAGGGAGCAGTTGGGGGTTCGGTGCCATGCTCAAGGGTCTAACCTCAGTCATGGTATTGAGGGTGGAAGGGAGCGCTGTGCATTCACTCCCCCACCTACAATCCCTGATGATGCCTCTTCTTGTGAAGCATGCTCACTGCTTAGCCGGATCATTGAAGCACATTCACCCGTCAACAGCCTTTTAGCTTCATGAGCATTATCCTGGTTGCCAAACCCAAGGTCTTAAATCTGGGGTCTAGCAATGTGGCCAGTGCAAGCATACGGATGGATTCAACATCGCTGCACCGCTTGTTGATGTACTGCTGAAGAGCCATCCCTAAGGATGAAGCAGAAACATTTCTTGCCAGGGCTGTTTTTTCTGCCACTTTGTGCTAAATCATCCTAATGATTGGGATGATCTTTGAAGCTGACACTCTCTTCTCCCCAGAGAGCTCGTTAGTGGCATGCTTGAACGGTGCCAGTATTCAAGGCTTTCAGAAATGATGTCAAAATCAGCACTTGAAAGTGGCATGATGTC